GATTCTTTGTGATGCCCCCCACAGCCCCTTATTCTGAGTATACCCTTCTCTTTCAACAGTGCCTCCAAAAACCTTTCACAGTTGCTCAGATCATTCACACCTTGTCAGTTACGTTTGAATCCCAAGCTGGTGCACTATCTACCCTAACTGACCTTGCTGGCAAACCCATTCCTGCCAGACCTCTCCCTCTCTTAAATCATTAATGCCAGTATATTATGAAGCAGAAAGTATAAGATTCCAGGCAGTTACTAAATCAGCGGGTGGGGCTGCCCTGGACTCACCTCCCACTGCTGCGTCAGACTGCAAGCCCCGATACAGCATCACACTGGTGGGACACCTGGCAATGTTCAGTTTTTTTGGGTGTCTCATGTGGGACACCTGTCATTAGTGGGTAAATATTTGTACTGGAATGGTTTCTATTCCTCCAAATGCTTGTCCCATCTACAAGGACTGGTCAGATTGTGAAATTGACCTCCTTACCTGCCTTGCTGAATATGATGCAGTGGCAGTACAGTGTTAATAGTATTCCTCCCAGAGGCCTGTGTAAGTCCGTCAATATTTACAAGATTAACTATTTCAGAAATGACCCCCATGAGGTTCATATTGATGGATTGTCCTACCATGTCTGACCAAATTGACCCCTTTCTCATCAGTGTCAGAAATATTGGAGTTTTGGCCATCCAGCCAAACAAAGATTCCTACACATTCCTCCTCTTCTGCTCCTCAGATATCTATCTCTTCTCCTCCTCAAAACCTCTTCACCCAACTCCTCTTTCAGAACCCTTGAAGACCTCCAAAACTTCATAAAGATGACCCAAGGGAACACTCCACTCCCTCTGTTCCTACTACATTTAAAGTATTTGCAGACCTCCATTCCTCCATCCCCCTTCCTCCTACACCCTCCCAACATACCCCACCCTCTCTACTGCTCCCACTAGAATACTTGCATGTATCACCATTTCCCACAGAGGCCCCCGTAAGTTCTTCACCAATATTTCCATATTCCTTTCCGTAAACATTATCTCCAAAATCCCTGTCTTGCTGTAGGGAAACTAAGGAGATGGAGACAGGCCCAAGGTAGGGGATCACCCCTACCTTGGACCTTAGCCCTTGCCTCAACTAATTTTGCATGGTCTTCCCTTCATCCCCTTATTCTGTCCACACCCAAAAGTGTGCGAGATGTGCTGAAAGGCTGGCTTTGTGCCAGTCTTGAATGGTCTTCATACTCGATTTGCTCTTCCCTTTTTACCCTTTTCACTATCACACTAACCTACAGCACTCTACCATCTTTGACATATAATGTATTTCTTCCTAATTATTAAAATTTTTTTTACTTTTTTACTACAGCACGTATAGCACTGTATGACTTCCTTACCAGGGGGCTTTGCCCCAAGCCTCAATATCCGACCTTAGATGTTGATGCTAAAAATTTTCAATAAATAAATAAATTTATTTTGGAGAGTCCCTCTCTATCAATCACTCCCATCAATGTCAGTTGTTGGTGTCTAGGCCACCTTGCCAAACACTGCTGCTCCCCAGCCTGATATCCTGTGTGTGTTCAGTGTGGTCATGATTGATCAATCTGTTCTACACAAGCATGTATGCTAATTGTGGTAGATCCCTACTGCCTTTGTTCTTCCTACAAAACCAGGTGTAAAGACAATTTATACAATTTAATGACTGGAACTGCAAAATGAGAAGGTAAAGTGCATGTAAATCCAAAAGTCTCCTATTTACCTAGTTTGTAACTAGATTAAATACTACAACATAATGAAATTCCCACTTATTTGTTAGGTTTGGTCTTCACTCCTTGCTTTTTATTGGCCACATCTACGGCTGCTATTGAGCCTAGCCCGTTGGCCTAACACAACTGAAGAGAAAAAAACCTAGTTACTTTAATGATCCATGTCTCCAGCTGAGGACTACTGCTTTGGATACTGTAGAGAAATTTCTAACACGGTTCATTATCCTGTCATGACCTCTGCCTTCTTCAGTAAGTTTCATAAACAACTTTATGCTTCAACCATAATTTAACCCTTAGAATATATGTTCCCATCCCTAACCCTTGACCACTTATTGAGGTGCTTACCTTTGTTGGGCCCCCCAATCCCTTTCCTGTTGTTGTCATGGGGGGGCTTAGGAGATGGAGACTTGAGACCCAATGCAGGGATCTCCCCTGCCTAGGGCCTCAGTCCCTCGACTCAACTAATTTGAGTCGACCAGCTCTTTCATTTCCATCCCTTCTTCAACCCCTTCTAGTGTCTACTTCCAAAGGTGTAAGAGCCATACTGAAAGGATGAAAGGCTGACTTTGTGCCAGTCCTGAAGTTTCTGAGGGAACCATAGGCATGGTATTCCCGTTTTGTTTGGCGCTTACCCCTCAAGGGGACCCTGAGACTGTTTATTTCCCCAACATAGCCAAGGCTTCCCATGGCCAGCTCCCCTACCCCAGGCTCTCCTTTGACCACGACTCTGAACATTACAACTACTACCCAGACTTCAATGCCTACTAGTGCATTATCCACCTAAGTTGAGACTCCTACTCTCCCAACTTCCAACTTCACCAATCATCTCATCTACCCTTATCACTACGTTATTCTCCATCTACATAATAATACCCCCCTCAACAATACTCCCTCTTCCACACGTCCCTGCCCTTCTACCACCCACAGATCTACCAATATCTTAAATACTCTATTTAGCCCAGCCAAATGGGACCGATTTTTCGTGATCCCCCTACAACTCCTTACTCAGGCAACACACTTCTCTTTCCAGAACGTCTCCAAGAGCAAGTGGGCAGAATCCCCTTCCGTACCTGACCCGATCATTCCCATCTCGTAACAGTTGCATCTGAAACTGATGATATAGCATTATCAAATCTAACTGATTTCTCTGCCTCAAAGACCATGATGTGATATCAGTACAGTACTATTCTATTTCTCCAAGAGGTCATTGAAAGAAACCCACCAACATTGCCCAAATTACTTTCTGTTCACATGATCTTCCATTTCGTATCTACATTGGTGGACAATCCCTCCCTTTTTGACCATGCCAACCTCCTCCCCATATGTCAAAACTGTTGGCAATTTAGACATCCCGCCAAACAATGCTGTTCCACAGACTGATGCACCATATGTGCCGAACCTGGTCATAACCAATCAAACTGCCATGCACAAACATGCACATGTACTAACTGTGGCGGCCCCCATAATGTATTTTATAGAGGCTGTCCCACTTACAAGTTTGAGTCGCAGGTAGCAACTCTCAGATACAAAATTGGTCTCACTCTACGTGAAGCCAGACAGGAAGCACACCAACAAGGTTTCTCTCATACTCCCTACTCTAGTAATGTTACTTGCTCTGCCCTCCTCCACCCTAAGACGTTTCTAGACCCCTTTACCTACTTACTTCCCCACGTCCACTTCTACATTCTACATCCCCCAGTCAAATTCTTTTGCCACTCCAAATCCAGACACTCCAATCTCAACTACAGCCCCAACACTCCCCTCTCCCTCCCTGCACTACCTATAGCAGACAGACTAAACATTCCCCCCCTTCGTCCCGTACCACATACTCGCCTCCACCTACCTTTGCCTTTATTCCTCAGACACCAGTCTCCTCTTCCCCCCTCATAAGAAAACCTTTGTCTCACAAAACTCCCCAACCAACTGCACTGGAGAAACTATAGAAGATATTCAAAGCTATATGCTTGAGACAAAATTCCACAACTCATGCTCCCTCCACGCTCAAAGTGACTGTCGATATCCATCCCCTTCCTGCTCATATTCCACACCCCTTCCCCTACTCCCTCTCAACACAACCTAACCCCCTCAATTCTGCCTACTACTGGTATCCATCCTTCTGATACTACTGATATTCATCCTCCTCCTTATCATATTACCCGTACACCACTGCCTCCTACTCCTCCCAAACACACCCTCAACTCCAACTACACGTATATTCTCCTCCTCCATCCCTCTTATCATTTCCACTCCCTCTTGGATACACACATGAAACCCTTATGTAACTCCCTTACTTCCACCCATCATAGCCCATTCACATAGCAACTCCTTTACCATCTTTTACTTTCAAGATTATTCTAGATAGTTGGTGCATAGCCACTATCACCTTTCACCCCCTCCTTTAACATACACAACCCACCCCCTCAACTCCAACTACACGTATATTCTCCCTCCCTCCATCCCCTCTTATCATTTCCACTCCCTCTTGGATACACACATGAAACCCTTATGTAACTCCCTTACTTCCACCCATCATAGCCCATTCACATAGCAACTCCTTTACCCATCTTTTACCTTTCAAGATTATTCTAGATAGTTGGTGCATAGCCACTATCACCTTTCACCCCCTCCTTTAACATACTTTCCTATGGTGCTATATGACCTTAGATGTCTAGCACATTTATTTTGCTTTAGCCATTAACCATTAACCATTACCTTTGTGGGATTCTTTCCTCCAAGTTTATGCCAAACCCGGACCACCAACATGCCATTCTCCATACTTGCTTAAAAGACTTTTGCTTAAGAAAATAGAACCCATAAACTACAACTGAGTGGTTATTTCCCATATCAGATACCAGGAACTTACTACTTTCCTTCCTTTCCTTTTTCTCTTTAATCTTCTCTCTTCTCTTTCGTCACTAATTTTCAGTTTTTTCCCCCTCCATTATTTTTTCTCCCCTTTTCTTTCTCTCTCCTTCCTTCTCTTTTTTTTCTCTTTCTCTCCTTCCTTCTCTTCTCTTCTTTTTTTTTTCTCTCTCCTCCCCTCCTGTCTTTCCTTTCCACTCTTTTAATATAAAGCCCCATGTCAAGTCAAGAGTAAACTTAAAATAAACTTTCTTATTCTTTTCTCCCTCTATTTCTCTTTACCAGGCCATCCTAGATAATAAAAAACATCTCTAACCAACTTCTAGAGACTGTCACCCCCTTCAAGTCCTTCACTGAAAAAAACATGGAGGCAGGCATGGAATAACAAAAAAGAAACAATTTATGCACATGTATATATTGCAAATAAAATATACAATTTTGGAAACGATATGACTACAAACACATTTAAAATATATTTTTATATTTAGTTACATAATTTAACAACCATGAAGTTGAGGTATCTAAAGCTATCAAGAAAGGTACCACACAAACTTGGAGGAATACATGAATATATAATGTACGCAAAGCCATTAACTGCTCTTGACTTTATTAAAAACTGATACTATCAAGATGTTTCCTCAGATCAAAAAAAGGAAGTAAACACTCAGACATTTTGCCTATCTCCTACTGGTTACATCAAACCTTATCACAGCTTTCCAACTACCATATTTACGTCTTTCTTTTAAATCTAAACTTAGCATTAAAGTGAGAAATACTGTCTAGTCAGTCATGGAACTTCCATTGATTATTTTCACTGATCACCAAGAAGGGATATGATCAACCATAAGAAATCATAAAAAAAAAATCAATGATTCAATCAACATATCATTCTCCTCATTTTTCTTGAAAGTTATGTATATGTTTTGCCATTCACCTTAATTTTCACCCATACCCTTCTGTTCATTTGGTGTTAGACATGTCGGTTTGGATAGTTATTTAAAACAAACTTTGCAGTTTTTAAAAATATTTAAAAATAGAAGCTTCCATTTCAAAGGAAATTTGCATTTATTAACTTCCTATATAAATTACAGGAACATACCACTGAAAATAAAAGAAAAAAATATTTGCATTCACATATTTCTTTTTACTAAATATTTTAGATCCAAACATTTTTTTTAACAAAATAAGAAAGTAAAACTGGAAGTTAGAAACACACCTAGGTATCCTATTTAATGATGTTAAGCTTCCAAATTAACTATGGAAAAATAAATTGTACATATACGAGCATTACTAAACTCTTTACACTGGCAATGGCACAGTTTTTGTTGGTGTCACTGAAGCTTGTGGCGGCGGTGATGCAGGTGCTGGCATTGTGAAAGGACTCCTACACTTCACACTGGAGCAGCAGGCTGGGGTAAAGAAGTAGTGGTAGCAGCAGAAGCAGTTGGAGAAGCTGGAGCTGTATTTGTTGTTCCTTGGGGCACAGGTACCTGGGTTCCTGTGATGCCACTGCCACGTGACCTAGAAAATAGATCATGATTTCTTTATCCTTTAGTTTCCAACCACTATTTTCCCTCCCCTTTCTATTCTGATTTTAAAAAATCAGAGACATCACTGCCACCTATTTTAAGAAATTGTGAATTTTAATTTCACTCATCTGCACTTATTGATGCTTTATCATGTTATGGTTCTGGTAGCTTCTGAGATGTATCAATCATAGGCTTTCTATAATGCTTATATCATTTGTACAGAGACACATATATTCATACCCTAGTTTCTGCTAAAGCCAAGGAATATATACAACAGGTAGCATCATGTCAACTTAGACTATTGAACCCAGAAAAAAAATGGACTTTTTCTGTAGTTTTCTGACAACTGTTTATGCTATGAAACATTTTGTTACCATAAACAAAAGTTGAATTTTTGTTTTACTTCTGGTAATTCTAACAAAACTGAGTAAATTATACAAATCATTATTCATCCAGCTATATCTAATATCTCAACGTGCATCTTCACTGGCTAAACACAATGATGTCATTAGTTCCACTGCCTTTTCACCCATCATTTTGTGTGCTATTTTATATTAATTGGTTTTTTAATATATTTTCTTCGAAAATGGTTCAGTAGTAAGAAAAAAGAAAGAAAGAAAGAAAGAAAAGGAAAAAAGCCTGTTAATATTTGCAATAAATGAAGGCAAAGAGGCAGGGCTTAGCTTGGTTGCCACCTAAGATTTTCATTGAAAATCTTAGGTTTCTTAGTAACATAGTAACAGTAGTTCCTAATGTAAATTAGGGGGTCAAACTGAGTTAGCTAGCTTATTGTATAGGTATAAGAATTAGGAAACTACCACACAATTTTTACAGCCCAGCTCCAGTTATTTCTTGGGTGGCACACGAGAACTGCCAACACGTAGAGGAGGTATGCACCTAATATGTGCCCGGTACACCTGTGTGGATTTTTGCTTTTTGTAATCTTGAATATGGCATTTCATAATAACATTGTGCATAGATATGAGTTTGTGATTGTTCAAAGAACACTTTTTTACTAATATCAGAAAAAAATAATATCAGCGATTTATAATGAAATACTTTTACCAATGAAATATACTTTCCACAGAGATTCCCTGTAATATGTTGTAGCTTACCAAGAGATCTGTATGTATACCAAGTAGGAAGCACTAATGTTTGAAAATAGCTGCATAAATAATAATTAAAATGTTTCAGCTGACTTCACCCTAACCGTTGGCACTTTCCGATGTTAGCAAATTTGATTTGGTTTGAAATGAGTCATTTCTGCTATAAAGAGCACTTCAATATGAAATGCTCATAAAAGTTGGATCTTCAAACTTCGGAGATATAAATGATGCTAATTATTTCATCTTGAAGATGATAGTA